GTGTCTCATTTCGTTAACTCTACAGTACAGAAGATTCTTGTATTTATGTTATATATACATACACATGCCCGCATTGAAACCACCGAACTGATTGGTAACTGTTCCAGTCCCACGGTTTGGGGTTCGTTCTGTCGGACGTTCGCTGCTTCGTAGGGATGAAAGGTATCAGCATGCACGCCTCTACACATGCGAACGATGTTTGCGGGAGTGCTAGGATTACGCTCTACTTGCTGAAGTCATTGGATGGCATCCAGAAGAATGTGGGTGAGGCAGGATCCTCCAAGTTTCTCCAAACGTTCTTTGTGCAGAAAAAATCATGTCCAGGGCAGTTCCTTCAGTTTGCCCATATTTGGCCACTTGTTTATGGGTGCAAACTGCCTCTGAGGAATGAATATGAATGAGTTAACCAGCATATCTCCCTAAAGCACGGGATTCCCGAAGCTAGGAAAAAACAGGGAATACCAAGAACCAACCATCAATCCAAGTGATGGGAGTGTGCTCCTTGGCCTCAAGTGACTGCTCCTTCAGGCTTTGGCTGTGATCGTGATCTTTTTGGGACAGATCGCGGCAGGCCGGAAGTCTGAGTGCCACAAGGGTCTGCAATACTGAGCGTCAGTGAGAAGGTTGTCACACAGGTGTAGTTGCTTTGAGCCTGGGTCCAGTATCAGTATTTGTTTTGGCGGAGCGTTGGATACTCCATGGATTGGCTTGTAATTAATGTTAGATATATACACTGTATATATATATATATGTATGTATGTATGTATTGTAGAATTGGTTAGATATGAATTTGATCACCAATGCAGTCCATTCAGTAGCACCATTTATCGCTTGAGAACTACTAGGAACATCTCATCAGTGTCGATTGTGATGTCCACGGAAGTTCTGATGCAGCTTGCATCCTCCAGTGGGCATGTTTCCCCAAACCACCAATGAAACCAGTGACGTCTCTTGTTTTGGAGCGCAGGGGAAAGCGTCATGAGACGATGCAGGTTCATATCCGAGATCTTTCGAAACAGGTCAAAAGGGGAACAACACAGATCAAAATCCATGACTGCATGGAACCCACTCACTGGGAACCATCCAAAATCATATCACTCCTACCATTGACCCCTTGGGGTCTTCACTCGCGTCTAAGACGGCCCCACCCACCAGGCTCTTCCGTCTTCAACCTGTGCGCCTTCCTGTTGGCCTGCTTGGTGGTCATCCTGGTGCGAATCTATGGCCTCGCCGGCAAGGCTGAACAGCAGCTGCTTGCGGTGAAGGGGCGCTGGTAACACTCCCATGTATGACATGTTTACCTTTGGGTCTGTCCGACCTTACTTGTAACAGTCAGTAAACAAGAACATCTCGATTTCACAGAAAAGCTTCTATACCATGCTTTTACTAAGGTATCATCATCATCCACTGGGCCCTGGATGACATGGATAGACCCAATATTTACCTCCCCCAAGGTGCTTGACCCGGGGTACATGTAGGTATATATATATATAAATTCATACATGGAGTCCATGGAGTATCATCGCGTGTTTGGGATTGAATGTACTGTAATTAAGTGCTAAATGACCCGCGGCCAAGGGTTGGCCATCACATGAAGTACACCATCACTGAAGTTGCTTGTCAGGGGATGCCATTTCAGTTTAGTGTTATTAAGGTGTGTGTGTGTGTGTTTGTTGGTGGGGTTCATTGAGCCGTCAACCCAGGTTTGGTCCTCTTCATGCCCTTGGGCCGAAGTTTTTGGACTGAGCCTGTAGTTGCTTCATCACACCGCGGCGTATACGACAAATGTTTTATTTAGGTATACGAGTCAGAGGGTCCAGAGGGTCATGCCGAAGCGAAACACTGCGCGTGCCAACCGATCCCTCCACCACTCTGCGCGTTTCACCGGGTGTCGGGGCAGGTGAAATCTGCTTTGGAAGTGCCCAAGGCGGCCAAAGCGACGGAGCACAAGGTGCCTCGTATGGTGGGACGGTATGGGTTCCTTGTTTCGGCCGCCGGCGCTGTGAGCGACCCTGATGGCGGTCATTGCCAATGGCACCGGCGCTGCTAAAGGTGCCGGTACCTTGTTTGAGGGGTCTTTGCCGGTTGGGTTGGATTCTCTTCTCTTCGCCATTGGACTTGCACGTTAGACTTTTTAGGCCTTGCACCAAGAGTTGGGGACTGAAGGTATGGGTCGTGAACTGAACTTCTTCAGTTGTGGACAACTCGTAGTTTGCTTGGGGAGCTAGGAGGTTCTGTAGCTCTAGCTGTTGCAAATACAACACAAAATGATAAATCTGACACCATGGTGTCAGCTGCTCTTTCTCGAAAGGTGGTGGACATCAAGAACACCAACTCTCCAGTCTGAGCGTGAGCCTATCATTTGGGCTGAGGTCCCAGTGGGCCTGGCGTTGTATGGGATGACGCCAGTTTTCTGTTCCCACATACCCAAACCAGTTTTGCCATTTTGCTTTTTCACAGCGGCGACGGAACCAAGAAAGCCTGGTTTCCAACCAGCTGTTGCATGGATTGCCCTGGCGGCTAAGTCCCAGGGCCATCTATGTGTGGCAAAGTTTGCGACCCGAGGGGGTGCTCGTTGGTCGTAGCCAAGACTTCGATAGATTGCACATAATACGTAAAAAAAAGTGTTCTTGTCAATGCTGCAGCAAAGAGTGACCGTATGTGTTTGGTTGTATCTCCTTTTTTCTTTACCAACAGGGTTGAGATATATGCATTTGTCGGAGCTCTTCAGAAAGAAGGCCCCAAACACAGTCACAGGTTGATGTTCCAAGTACCTTTTCAAGAAAAGAGACTCTCACGCTTTCTTTGGTATTGTTTGACGAAGCCCCAGCACCCTACCAGATAGGATACCATTAAGGACCATTGGAGCTCTGGCCCTCCAGGCATTAGTACTACATGTACACAAGTACCCAGTATCTGTGATAAATTGGGTCTATAGACCCCTGTCATAGATAGAAGTTCGAGGACATCCCCACATAGAAACTGTCGATCGGAAACTGTGCCACGGTCATCTATTTGGGGACCATGATACTTGAAAAAGAGACCGGTCACACCGGTGTTTTTGCAGACCTTTTACGAGCACCGAGCGTCCGAAATGCACCAGTCGTTCTGCAGCTGGACCTTGGCCCAAGATTTTGGCAAGTCATTTGCATCTCCTTCTCAGTCCATCTCGGCATCATGGCTGGTGAGGCGGCCAAGGGAACCATGGGCATTTTCATCATCTTTGTGCTCTCCCGTGCGTTGCATCCCATGGTGATCGACTACTCCAAGGTAACTTTGCAAGTCGTTTTGCGCAGTCGGTTCTGGGTGCAGAATCGTTACTGATGATTTTTCTTCCCACGTTGTGCTTTTGAGATGTTGAGGATGTTTGTGAAGCTGCTCTAAAGCCGAAGCACTGTGCCTTCGGGAAGCATCACCCCGTGTGTTTTCAGGAGGATGGACAGATGCTCTATTCCAAGAACTCTCCTGCAATCATGAGTCAGCTCCTTTCAATGATCTTCGTTAACTTCCTGGCTTGGCAAGAGGAGGGAATGAAGGGCGTGAAAGCATGCTGGCAAATTCCCAAGGGTGCTTCCATCTTCATCGTCATCGGTGCCTAGGTTCAACACAGACTCTATAATTGGGCTGTATGAAAAGGCTCCTCTACAAGCATGCAAAGGCCGTGTTTTGCAACTCAGACTATGTTCAAATGTGCAAAAGACAACACAGTGTCATCATGTCAATGCTGTTGCAATTCCTATGTAGTGGATACATCCAATGCAATTGTGTCGTACATGTCCTTGTTTCCGCTGCACGTCACAACAATCGGATCACTTTGAGCATGTCTTGCCGCATCGTATTTTTGCTTGAGGATGGGAGTGGTTGTAGTTGGGAGTTGCTCAGGAAATATGATAATGCTCCCAATCATGAGATTATTTTTGCATCCTTTCCCCTCCAGAAGATGAAGGAGAACATATGGTTGATTGAACAAAAGCCGGGACTCCAACCTGAGAAAAGCCCTGGCCTGTTTTGCCCTGCAGACAACCCTATTTGTTGTCGATCAAACTCTTGGAGGCGTATGTTGAACTGAGTCGAGGTTAGGTAAACCAAGTGTGTTACCAGCGCAAACTCTAAACCTCATGTTTTGTTCATTCATTCACCGCCTTGTGTTCATATCAAGAACACTGCGTAGGGCAGTACTATTGCATACTGACGCCTGCTCGGTAATACTGACCCCTGCTCAGTCCAAATTCTAATATCCAAAATACCAACCTCTACTTCTGAAGCTATCAAAACACATCAACACCTGAAGCCATTCTCTCCTGGATTGGCGCCAGCGGAGTGAGGTCTTTGGTATGCCTTCGGTGACTTCTTGGAAATGCTTTCCATGGGTGCCATGACGGGTGGTGTCTACCAGCTTTTGCTCCAATCTAAGCTCTTGATTACCGCCGTGATGATGAAGCAGCTGAAAGGAACTACCCAGAGTGGCTTGGCCGCAGTTCTCCAAGTGAGGCCCTTCCAACTGGGTTAATCATTAATCCATGATGTTCATCCCATTTGGTTGTGTGATTTCTTTGGGGGGGTTGAGATCTTCGTTGTTGAGACACTCTCTGCCACTAATCCGTTTTTTGCGGCCAAACAGAGGACAATCTTTAGCATGTGCTATTTCCTGCCCAGAGTAGAGTACTGTCTGATTGTGGGCTGGCTTCCACAAAGAACGGTGGCAAACTCTCCACATTTGGCTCACTATATATTTTGCTGAAACGCAGGCGACCTCCAGTGGAATGTGCTGATTGCAGCCACCTTGGCCATCAGCGCCTTTGTCATGGTTGACTCCGGCAGCTCCGATGGCGAGTCTGGCATTCCTTTGATGGGTGTCGTCCAAAACTTAGCTGAGTCGGGCTGTGGTTCTTATCACAGGCTGCACAAGTGCAGGTTTGGAAGAAGTAGCCGCAAAAGAAATCAGCCGAGGCCATGGTTCTTTTCAAAGTCGGCGTTTCTTGCTATGCTGCCGTGCTCTCAGATGCCAAATTGAAGGGCTTCAGCAACATGTCCATGTCGGCCAAGCTTTCCTTGATGTCTCTTTCTCGTGTGATTGCTTCCGTGGGCATTGCTGCCGTCATGGAACCAAGCGTGCAGCCCTCCTACCAGTGGAGTGCGGCTGGATTCTTTGATCACTGGACGTTGGCCACCTGGGTTGTGACCTTGTCCTTCACCTCAAAGTCTTTGATCCTTGCATACCATTGGCAACTTCTTGTTAACCAGTTTTACTGAGTTTGGCACCCTGTACCGTTGCAGATCTTTACAATACGTCTGACACCACGCCACTTCCGCTCCCTCTCTCTACCTGTTGCTTGAAGTACAACGCTTTGGCTCCAACATCCGGTGCTTCCAAAAAAACAAGATATATATATATATATTTTATATGTATATCAAAACCCACTGGTCAATGGACGAGTTAGCTGATACGGGTCATCCGGATGCGTTCTATTGGATCCAATTGGCTGAGGATCACTTTGTACCTGCTAAAGTCTTTGGACGGCATTCAGAAGAACGTGGGCGAGGCATGGGTCAGGGTGGGTGGGGTGGGCTGGCAGGCGACAAGAGTGGCACACTCTCGGCCCACTCTGTGACAAGGGCAAAGAAGTAGTGTTCTGGAATCTGGAATTTGAACATGAAGTAGGGAGAAAACTAATATTGGTTTTCTGGGAATGGATTTTTGAGTGACTCTTTCCTTTGTCCTTTGACCAGTTTGTGAAAGGATGGTAGCCCAGCTAAGTGGACCAGTCCGTGATTGGTCACGCATATTTTATCATTGCTTCACCAAGTAGAATTCCGCATAGCAGGTGATCTGTCCTTCTCAGCAGGCTCTGGCTGTGATCGTGATCTTCTTGGGACAGATCGCAGCAGGCCAAGGGGAAAGCGCGGGCGGGGTACACAGAGGATTTCTGCGGAAAATCACCCGAGATTCTGATCATGTGAAGGTATCCTAGAGTTTAGATGGTGCATCACTGTTGTGGCTGCAATAATATATTTTGGATGCGTATGGGGGCCTTATAACTAGAATCTAGATAAACCTAGAAGACTTGGGAATTTGGAGGCTCTTCTATCCAACAGGAAGATGTTAGTTTGCCGACCCATCAACCAGTTAGTTGGTGTTTTCTATTCAACACATGTCAACCCCAACTTCCTACTATATACCCCCTCCATTTGGCTGGCCTCCCATGGTTTGCACCAAATCTCAGCCATGGAAACCTGCCTGCCTTGGTTTTTGTAAGTACCTACAGGCTATCATATGGGCTTAATATGGTCCAAGTGACGTGGATCTTCAGAAGTATGACTTGTCTAGATCCCACCCGTCTCCTGTTCCCCCCCAGCTGAATGAATCGCCCTCGGCCGCTGTTTCACCCAGGTTCTTTGGGGAATTCTCTGATTACTGCATCATGATTCCAAAGAAGTTCCTACGCAGGTCTGAAACACTGTCAGCAATCCAAGATCCGTTTCGATCTCAACTTGCTGCACATCCAAGCCCTCACATCACTCCTGACCCCTGTTTTGACAGCACCATTGATCCGGTCTTCACTCACGTCTAAGACGTTGGGCCCCACCAGGCTCCTCCGTCTTCAACCTGTGCGCCTTCCTCTTGGCCTGCTTGGTGGTCATCCTCGTGCGCATCTATGGACTGGCCGGCAAGGTGCGGCACGACGCCTTTCAACGCGAGGCGAACGGTGTTCGTGGGCCCCAAAAGAAGCGATCAGAGCCACGCGGCACGCGGAAAAAACCAGGATTAATGCAACAGGTTGCGGATTGAGCCATGCAGATGATACCAATTTCTTCATGTAGCGATGAGCAAACAAGAGTACAAGTGATGAACAATCACAAATCTATTTCTTCCGGTGATTTTTTGCCAGAACTCTGTTGGCTTGCTATTTGCATCCCTGCCAACAAAAAAAATCAGGCACAGAGTTTGCAGTTTCCTATCCCTTGTGTTTATAGAATCCACTGCATGTCTGGGAAAGTAAATCGAATTGCACCTTTCATGCTTACCCTGCGACTGTTTTTGCTTTTTGCCATGTGCTGTTCATCAGTTTCTTTGTGGAAGGTGAAGGCTGCTGCCAAGCCTGCAGCTAACACAGCGGTCTTGGATGTGAAAGGACAGAACCTCAAGGTCCGCACAAACGGATGCAAGAGGGAGCATGTTGCTGAAGATAAGAAGACAAGAGAGAGAGAGAGAGAGAGCGCCAGATGTTTCGTTGCCAGTTCCTACTTTGTTCCCATGTCCGACACTTCACAATTCAAGGGTATTATTGGACTCTTGAATGAATCGTGCGTCATTTGGTAAAATGTGAGAGCACGTAGGTGAGTTTGTATCTTGGAATCTTGAATATTATCCATCAAGAATCCAGAAGGATTCATATGCCTAACTGTTGCATCATCAGGGCGAACCCTCTTCAGGAGTTGGTGCAGTCGAAAGAATTTCATTCCTGGGTCCCACAAGTCCCCACCGTTTTCACCAACAGGACCGTTGTACACCTGATGGGTTGCTGGTTCTTTCCTGAAACACGAGCCGGGGCCTGGGCCAAGCTCTCAACTCATTGTTGAGGGATCTGAGTTGACTTTGATTCACCTGCGATCCACATTCTGAGAGGCCATGGTCTTATTTTCTGGGATTCAGAGTAATTTGGACGGATTGTCACAGGACGAGAGTGTTGGCTCAAGCTGCAATCAAACATTGTGGTTGTCAAACATCACCCTTGGATTGAAATGATAAACCTGTACAGTGGCTTCAAAGTAGATGGCACAATCCCCAAAAGGGGTGGCTTATATGGACCCCATATAAAAGACATCTTGGGGGGAAAGATAAGCTCTGAAACCACGGCTTGACGAATAAGAAGTGTTTGCTTTGGCGAATCCCGGTGGCTTCTTCGGGAATAAGCGTTCGTGCTCGGAACACACGGTCTCCTTGAAACGGTTTGCAGCAGGCGGATTGTTGACCCTGTGTCGTTCATGGTTTTGTGGCAATAGCAATAGATGGTTAAAAGTATTTTCTTTGCATGGGTATTATACTCACTTGTTTCTTGTCAATGTTCACTTCAGCAACCAAAGCCGCTCCACGGGTGGGAGAGCAGATCCATGTGTTCGATCAACTCCGCAGGTGACAGAGATCAAGAACACCAACTCCCCAGTCTAGCTGCCGAGCTGCATAAAAACGAAACACACATAGAATCACATAATATATATAGTATACATGTTTCCAGCTTCATTTGAAGCACTCGTAGATCAGTTTTCCTCGAAACGAATCACATCTGAGAACAAGAAGACAGTCACTTGAAAGGCTTTGAGGAGGTGTTTGGAGCAGTGATGCTTGGAGGTATTCATTGAGTGATACTTGATTGATCTTGCATCTACTGAATCTAGGGCCCCTGAAATCCAGTTGATAAAGATTATGAGATTGTTTCATGTATCAATTATCCCAAAGCATTATATACCCTGCCCTTTCTTTCATGATTGCTGCTGTGGTTCTTCTTGTGTACAAGGACGTCCATGTCTCAGAGAGCTTTGGTGTTTGTGTACAAGCACTTGACGCCAATTTTCCTACCCCTAATTCCAAAAGAATGAACTTGGGGTAGACATTGATTTTGCATGATTTTGCCTTCCCACAGCAGTGAAGCTTAAATTGGGAGTCTTCAACTGCGCTGTTGGCATCCTTGGCGGTGTTCGACGAATGTCGGCATCGTTCAGGATTGCCGTATGTGTTGCCAACGGCTTTTCAATGCCATTGCTTCACCTAAACAATGAAAAGACACTGAGTGCGGCCAACAAAAGAGCAGCTGTGTTTGTTGCTTGGAAGACACTTTTCAGCTTCATTCCCGGTTTCCTCATGGATCAACCAAACACCACGCAGCACGCGAAGGCCTAACTTGGTCGTTCATCACCCACCAGCCAGTTGAAGGCAGTTGGTTCGTGTCAGTGCTATATGGGTTTGTATGCGTGCAACGCAGAGTTGGGATGTTCGACTTCGGCGAAGCATACAGCAAAGCATACCCGGAATGTGAACATCCCCCGGGAACATCCCACACCTGGGAGCATATCTATTCTTCATCCAGACAGACAGCAGTTTAACTTGTAAAAAAAAAATAAAATAAAAAAAGTAAATAATAATAAATAAATAAAAAAACAACAGTTGTAATGCATGGCTTACAGACCCGAACAGCTGGATGTGAAACGTTCCACAATGAACAGCTGGAGTGAGGGATGGGGTCATGCTGGTCATGACAAAGCCCTACAGTGGCTGGGATGGCCTATGACTCTGCCCAATAATGAATATCTCCAATTAGTTTGAAGTGCAGTTGAAGTGATACCTTTGTTGTTTCCAGGTGTAGAAGATTATCCACCATTTGTGTGCGGTCACCATGGCTATTATTGTTCGGAGATTTGCAGAAGCTCTATGATATAACTTGCAGAGACCACTGACTTTTGATTCAACACCCGCAGCAGTCAGGGTTATGCCCCCCCGGCTATTCTAATCCTTGAACTGACCCAGATCCCCACGTCTGACCTGGTCAGAGTCGCCCAGATCTGCACGTCATCGCCCAGATCGCCCAGATCCGTCATCGCCTTTGGTGCTCCTCCTGTGGACATGTGACATAGTTTGCCCTATACAAACACGTTCCTCCCCAGAATCCGTAAAAATCCCGACTTCAGAGACGCAGGCCGCATATAAAACGCCTGGCCTTGGATTTCCCAACCGTTTCATCATCAAGACGTAACCCTCCAACCGGTCTTATGGTGCAGGACGAGGCGGTCAGCCAGCCGGCGCATTGCGCAAGCGCGCATGTGGAGAAAATGGTGCGGTTTGGCGGTGACATTTACGGAGTTTGGAGAAAACGGCGTGTGGAACGTTCATTGTTGTTGCTGGTTGAAAGTCACTTTGTCCATGGGTCACATCTGTATTTTCTCTCCAGTCCTTTCAGAGCTCGAGTGACTCGAGTCCTTTGTGAGCCAATTAGAGGTAGTGGAGGAAGGATGACGATCTCCGGATTACTTCCTATACAGACTGTACAGCTAGAAGACATGTGCGAGAGGATGGTGGTCTTCATCCCAATACCAAGATGCAGAAGACGGACATGCCGAATCATGTTGTTCCCCGGATGGTTGCGACGGACCACGCCAACAGACGGACGCGTGGCGTCTGCTGATAGGTCACAGCGCCAGGTACGATGGTCGAAGCTGGTTTCTGACGAAGGTGAAGGTGAGAGGTTGAAGAACCCTATAGACTATCCGGATGGTAGATCCGGATACTATAGACCATATGACCCTATAGACTATCCCTGGTGCCCTTCGCCAGGCCTGAAAGGTCCTGAAAGTCCGGACGGTGGTTGGGGGTGTGCCGCCCTCGCCAGGCCAAGCGCTTCGGAGAACAAGATGATGCTGCTCCTTGGTGGAGAAGAAACGGTGGCTGTGGTGGTTTCTAGATATTGATCCATCCTGCTGAATAGCAACGCCAAAGCAGTTCTGGAAGCGAAGCGTGCCCGGCACCGCATCAGGTCTTATGGCATGTGATCCCGGCATCGCTTGAGTTGGGACGATACTCTGACATGATGTCTACAACTTCGTCTCAGATGATAAGTGAAAGAGGATGAAAGAGGTATGTTAATGTCATGTTTTTCTTATGGTGACCTGACTATTCAGGCAGATTCCCAATATGTCTAGGGGTCTACAGCGCAACGCCACGCCAGGAATGCCTTCAAGAGCCTTGCTCGGAGTCATCCTGCCGTTTTTGCCAGGTGCCGGGCCGATCGAACGTGGTGTTTGATACAGCCGATGATAGCATAGACCATCCGGACTGGAATAGTTACTTACATTGGGGTCATACGTGGATATAAGTCGTGTCCTATAGTAAATATATGCATCTATTCCAGTCCCATGTTGATGGTTTGGGTTGTGGGAGGAAAATCCATTTCAGTGGCTGCGTATTCAGTAAAGACACAACTGGTGGGGTCCACATCACCATGATTTTGTGCATTCCCTGGTCCCACCAAGTCCCGTGAATCAACGGTTGCACGCCTGATGGGTTGCCGGTTCTTTCCAACGAGACGCACCGGGGGTTCTAGGCGATCCAGTCTCCTAAAGAACAGGTCAGGTCAACCAGGTGGATGCCGTGAGACGAAGTCCGGTTCAATGGCGTTTTTAGTAACATGGTTAGTAACGGGTTGCCCCAATCTGCTCATCTCCATAGGCTGGAGTTTCAAAAGTTCTCAACCATTGGATGATCCTGGAGTATATCTTGTCAGGTACCGAACAGATCTTCGCAAACCCCCCCTCCCTTTTTTTGATATATTTTTCCGTATATCACCCATCGAACGAAAACCCTTCGCTTCTGTACCTCACGGACGTCCGGCCGACCACACAGACGTCCGCCAGGCACCACCCAGATTTGACATGCCTCTCCGACGGCTCAGTGGTCCAACGCTGACCACCCTGCGAACGAGGTCCGGCCGTGTTCTTTTTGAAGCCGGGCTCACCAGCAACCCGGGTGAAGACTCTATAGCTGTCGGTGCGGTTTTGCTGGTGGAGCAAGGTGTGTTATTCTTTTGGTGTTTTTGTATAATGTATCCCTCACCTTGGAATCTTGGAATTCAGAGGCTTTGCGACATGCCAGTCAGACCCGAGATCGGCTTTTCGATCGACCCCCCAGCGGTGAACGTATCGATTTCTGCCGCCAGAAGTCGGCGACGGGCGCCAGATCAAAGTGGCCAAGACCGGATGCGTTCCCTCCGAACGGTTCGTTCGTCAACGTTGCCACGATGCGAACCATCACGATCCCGTCGATCCGTTCGTTTCAATCCCAGACCATGGCATGGCATGGCATGGAATATATGGACCCCCGAAACCACCGCAATGTAGTACTATATAGGCCATGTATCGATGGACTGAATACAAGAGACTCCCCTGGCCCTGGTTCCTTGCGTTCAGATCAGAGAATCGGTGAACTCCACAGAAGATTCCTGCGCTTGCTTTCGCCGTTGGCTCAAGTAATGTATGCCGCTGTGTCACGAAGGCTGGTATGCACGGGAGATGAGATGAGGAGTACTTCACATGCACCGCAAATGGGTGTGTAATTTAAGAGAGAGGAACGCTGTGAGGCTGCGAGGGCCTGTGTTTTTCAGTGGAAAACGCAGGCCCCCACAGCGTTCCTTTCTATATTTTAATAGGGAGAACCCCTGGCCCAATTGGGGTTGGGGGTCGGTCGATACACCCCAATGGTGACAAATGGTGTTTTCGGTCACACCAACTCCTGGTCTCTCAACTCCTATATGCTTGCTGATGTGGGACACAGACTGTATGATGAACAGCTGTCCACAAACTATGTGTGATAGGATCGAACCATAGTTAATTGTCATCATCAATGGATTTCAGTTGAAGCTGATATCATTACCGAAAATTACTGATGAATACATGTTTAACATCTTTAAACGAATGATTCTAACAAGACTCAGGTATAGAGTATGCTAGAGTGGAGGATCCACTCCTATTTGCCTGGTGCTATCAGTGCGTTGGATCCGCTGCGCACGCTTTATTTCCCGAGGCGTTGGCGGTCATGGCCTACAAGCGGCCTTTGGGGGTGGTTGGGGTTGCCCAGTGGGGTTCCTCCGCAGCGTCGGCGGACCCGGGCCCGGCCCCGATCGGTCTGTGCGATTTTTTTCGAGCGAAAATGATCCTGTTTTGGGATTAGGTGGCCAAAGTCGATTTTTGAGCTGTTGTGTATTTGAATTTGAACTGTTGTGTGTATGGTCTGTTGTGTATTTGAAGCTGTTTGGCTTGTTTGTTTTCGCACCGAGGAGAGGGGCCATGAGGTTTGGCAATCTGTGCGTAGAGAGACTACTAATTGAGACTAATTGGACATTTTCCGAGGAACACCAAGGAGGAACTTAGTAAACTATGGCCTCTACCTTAATTAGTTTCCATGTCACATCGAGTAATTATTCCTAGGTATAGGGAGATTGGGGGGTCTCAGGCAGTGACCATAGTCAACTCACGTAAACGTCTGATTGGAATCTTTGACCTTCGCGTCAGCCAACTGACTGAACGTTCGGCCCGACTTGGACCCCTATGATCCACCTGATCTTGTCTACAAGACAAGATCAAATAGACATACATTGGATGGTCGATTAAGGGGTGCCACCCCAATAAAATCACAGATCAGCGCAAAGTTGAAGAGGGGAATGTATAGACAAAAGAACAAACGACTATGTTCGTTGGCTGATCATCCGACTTGTTCACTCCATAGCCATCGGCAACTACACCATTTTCCGGGAAAAACTGTTGATAGTTTTCCAGAGGGTCAGCTATAGGAGTCACTTTTCAGGTCTCTCACCCGCCCAAACAACCAACCTCGTTCGCACAGCGCGCAGAAGCACCGAGTCCCGAGTCCAGGTCCCGTCGCGGGACTTTTGGGAGCTCCACCGACGGCTGGGCGAATGTTACGAGCAAGCGCCCACGCCCGGCGTTTAGAGCGGTCGGAGCCGGTTTCGGGAGCTGTCGGACGTTCGGTTGGCGGACGGGGACCGAACCGGGTGTCGTTCGGGCGCCAACTGCTTGGAGCTCAGAAGAGGGCGAACTGCGGCGTTGAACGTTCGAGGGAAGAGATGGGCGAACATCCCCAGACGCGAAGGTCCGGAGGATCGACATCTCTTTCTGCTTAAGAGTCATGAGTCAGAATGAGTCACTTAGGTTCGGAGCACCGGGCATGGCATAGATGTTCCTAATTCATCTACAACTGCAAAGAAGAATCAGCTCGAACTACAATGTTCACGCAAACGGAGGTAAGGAACCATGTTCTGCAGGTGTGTTTCTGAACAAAAGACCTTTTCGTTACACCCCTACGGTATCATACAATAACTTGGAATTGGACACTGTTCACCATTTTCCTGCACAGCTGGCTACCAGCTTTCCATGTCAGCGCAGATATGATGCTCTAGTCCTCGGACAAAGAAAGTAGATTACAGTACTAGACCTACCCTTTCTCAGCAGGATTCACTAGGTTGGAGGCCATTGCTATTATGGTTGGGGATTCTCCGCTTGGTCCCACTCTCAGATAGTGATGCAAAAGGAACAAGCGTCACGACTGCCTAGATCCTCGAATCAATCCACTTGTCTTTGCGAGGATCTTAAGAAGGCTTCTGCGCGCAAGTTGGGGACTGCAAAACGGGTGAGAACCCATGGTGCAACTGGGCAATCTGGGCCGCTGCCATTCCTAGAGAGTGCCTTGATGATTTAGCAGGATTTGAAGTTTGGATATGATTGGGATGGGCTATTCGGGAGAACAAGCTCACAAACAGATAAGTATCTCAATGTAGGGTCTTGATTGGACATGAAGATGTTTTACATGGTTTTACCATCCAAAGTGGGGACTTGATCAATCAAGAGTCTACGTGTTTCCAACTGTTGCGTGTTTCCAACCTAATGGATAGACTCCAGCGGTATATCCCTTGGGATCCAACCGTTTCCAACTGAAAGGCCTACCGTTTCAACCCGAGGACGCGCTCTTTGCAGAGCGCTTAGAGGAGCTCGGTTGCCGAGGTAGGAACGGAGACACACATGTGTGTTTGAAGTTCCTTTCATTAAAAAGGTGTATATACATGTGTGTACACATGATGTCATTCTTTCCACACGATTGTTTGAAGAGGTTCATGATGGTTCAGGAAGTTCCCTTGAGCGAAGTAACGACTGGGATATCGGGGTGGATCGTCCGGATCGTCCGGATGTGGTTTGCACGCATGGAGCCCGGTAGAGAGTTCACCGCAACCCGGGTGTGGGTTCGTCTTCGTTCAGTGTCCGCCAAGAGGAAGACCCCATTGCTCCCTTCCAGTTTCTTACGCATATATGCTTAGGATTGTAATATGATGCATGACGAGGGTGGTTTCATGTGTAAGTTTTCTGATTCAATCGCGATAGATGCGTATATGTATGCTTCGTTCTGACTCTTGCGTCAGCCAGAATGCAGTTCCCACAAGGTTCTTGTCATCCTTGACCTGATTTCAGAAGGTCAGTCGATACACAAATGTTCCAACACCATCCTGTGTTCGGACAATTTCTAGTCCATCTTCCCACTTCCCAAATTGCTTCACATAACACTTCCAACACCATCCACCGGGTTCCCATGAGCCAACCCATTGCTATGGCCCCCGCCTTCTTCGGCCCTTCGTGACAGTCCTTCGTGAGGCGTCGGACTCGGCAGCGAGCCACCCGCCCCCTTGAGACCCGTCAATCATCGGGCCTACACCGAGACCTGGCGAGCTATTCGGAGACGGAACCCGAGACGGGACGGTGTGGGCCGTTCGGAAGGGTGCTTTTTGCTCCGTGAAAGAAATCGGGAACCGTGGTTGGTTGGTTTTTTTGTTTGGATGAGGCAGTTGTGGTTGCGGGTGTTGGTTATCGTAGTTCTTTGATTTGTACAAAGGTGATATATAATCAGACGCCTGTGTGAGAGTGCCTACAAGCAGTGTATTTGACTGTGATGTTTTCGGTTGTGGGTACCAGGAAGTCCATGTGAATCCAACAAAACTGAGTGGTGTTTACAGTGGATTGGATATCCCGAGGTCCTAGTTTATGTACATGGTATATAGTCAAGGTGAGATTGCCCCGGCAAAAAAAACATAATCAACACTATTTACAGCCTTCGGCATGCCGCCGGCCACCAGCTCGAGCCCGCATTGGCAGGCAGCTTAATGATACAATACCCTGCTCAATCATACTTGTTGGTGCATTGGAGGTGCACATTTGGCTGGGTGAGTTTGTTGATGTTTATTTCAAGGTTGTTTGACCATGAAATGGAACAAATCCGAATCAGAGGTTGTCTATTCTGATCCAGCGATCCGAACCGGCATGTCTCAGTCGAATCACCTAAGAGGAACCAAGTGAAACCAACACAAGCAATGCGAACCAAGACTATCCACAAAACGTGACCTTGAAAACGATTCTTCTTCCAAACTACTTGGCCGTGTGCATGCTTTCCTTTTCAGATCTTTTTTTCGACCATCTCGAGGGATTGCGACACGCACCAGATCTTCTTTTTCACACACAGAAGGCTTCAAAGCGACCGAAGAATTTCTAGATCTGGCATGATTTAGAGGGCGGAGGGGGGAGGGGGGGGGAGGGGGTGAAAGAGTGACTAGGGCGTACACGGTAGAGGTGCAGACCGCTAGTGTCTTTTATGCGCAGAGTCTTATCCTCTTGCTCTTTTGAGCCTTGAAGCAGTCAAGCATGGACACACTATATCGGCTGTTGGAGTGGATCCCTGTACAGGTAGGCTCTACTTTTCAGCAGGCACAAGATTCATGTCCACTCCTAGCTGATTGCGTATGTCGCATACTCTTTTTCTACTGCAAGGCTAAAACAGTCCAGCTAGCTCTAGCAACTTAAAAGAAAACTACGGTGCCATGTACTTACCTAATCCAGTGTGTTTCACACTAT